GCCTCCCAAAGTGCTAAGATTACAGGCATGAGCCACCACGCCTGGCCTATTGTTCCCATGTTTATGTCTATGTGTACTCAATGTTTAGCTCCTACCTATAAGTGAGAACATGTCATATTTGGTTTTCTGGTTTCACTCTGGCTCATGCCTCCAGCTTCATTCATGCTGCTCCAAATAACATGATTTCATTCTTTTTTATGGCTGTGCTTTTCCCCCTATATTTTCTAAGAGTCTTGTAGTTTTTGTTCTTATGTTTAGGCCTTTTACCCACCTTTTACCCATTTTGAGTTAGCTTTTTTTTTTTTTTTTTGAGATGGAGTCTCTCTCTGTTGCCCAGGCTATAGAGCAGTGACATGATCTTGGCTCACTGCAACCTTCTTCTCCTGGGTTCAAGTGATTCTCCTGCCTCAGCCTCCTGAGTAGCTGGAATTACAGGCGCACGCCAGCATGCCTGGCTAATTTTTTATATTTTTAATAGAGATAGCGTTTCACCATGTTATTCAGGATGGTCTCGATCTCCTGACTTCATGATCCGCCCTCTTCGGCCTCTCAAAGTGCTGGGATTACAGGTGAGAGTCACCGTGCCTAGCCTTGAGTTAGCTTTTGTATATGGTGTCAGGATAGGGTCCAACTTCATTCTTTCACGTGTGGATATCTAGTTTTCCCAGAGTAATTTGTTTAAAAAGACCGTCTTTTCTCCATGGAATGATTTTGACACCTTTGTCAAAAATCATTTGACCATATATACAAGGGTTTGTATCTGAGCTCTCTATTCTACTTCATTGGTCTACGTCGGTATTTATTTCAGTACCACACTCTTTTGTTCACTATAGTAAGAAATCAGGAAGTTTGAGTCCTCCAACTGTCCTTTTTCAAGATTGTTTTGGCTATTCAAGGGCCATTGAGATTCCATGTGAATTTTAGGATGAGTTTTTTTATTTCTGCAAAAAATTCCTTGGGGTTTTAATAGGGATTTAATTCAATCTGTAGATCATTTTGGCTAATGACATTTTAACAATATTTTGGGAGGCCAAGATGGGGAGATCACCTGAGGTCAGGAGTTCAAGACTAGCCTGGTCAACATGGTGAAACCCTACCTCTTCTAAAAATACAATATTAAGTCTTCTCAGCTGGGCGCTGGGACTCACATCTTTAATCTCAACACTTTGGTGCCCCTAGACAAGAAAGGTCACTTAAGCCCAGGAGTTCAAGACCAGTCTGGGCAACATGGCAAGGCCCTTATCACTACAAAAAATTTAAAACTTAACTGGGTGTAATGGCCCACGTACCAATGGTCCCAACTACTCAGGAGGCTGAGGTGGAAGGATGGCTTGAGCCCAGGAGGTTGAGGCTACAGTGAGCTATGATTGCTCTGCTACACTCCAGCCTGGTCAAGAGAATGAGTGAGATCCCATCTAAAAAAAAAAAAAAAGAAAGGCTGGGTGTGGTGGCTCATGCCTGTAATCCCAGCACTTTGGGATGCCAAGGAGGGCAGATGCTTTGAGGTCAGGAGTTCGAGACTAGCCTGGCCAACATGGTGAAACCCTGTAACAACTAAAAGTACAAAACTTAGCCAGGTGTGGTGGCATACGCCTATAATCCCAGCTACTCTGGAGACTGAGGCAGGAGAATCACTTGAACCCGGGAGGCAGAGGTTGCAGTGAGCTGAGATCGCACCACTACACTGCACTCCAACCTGGGTGACAGAGTAAGACTCTGTCTCAAAACCAAAACAAAACAAAAAAACCAGGCCAGGCACGGTTGCTCACGCCTGGTAATCCCAGCACTTTGGGAGGCTGAGGTGGGTGGATCATGAGGTCAGGAGATAGAGACCAGCCTGACCAACATGGTGAAAACCCATCTCTACTAAAAATACAAAAATTAGCCTGGTGTGGTATAGGGTTAATATAAGAAAAGTCATGCCCAGTGTTTGCTCTAAGTTTCTTGGACCTTGGGAACGAAAGTTATCATTTCTTTGGCGGTAAGCCTGGGGCATTAGGAGCTCATGATGGCCCTGGCTTATTTCCGAGGAGCCGGGAATCTGGCCAATTCCCATTTCTTCGAGAACAGTAAACAAAGCCAAGGATTGCTGTTACATAATGATAACGTTCACGAGAGACAAGACAAAGAGCAGCTGGTGTTTACTTTATGACCTAAGTTGAACTGCAACATATAAAATATAGACAAAAACCAAAGAAAGACGGAGAGAGGGAAAAAGAGAGAGAGGAAGAGAGAGATTGCTGAGAGCTGTGACTTGCGCTTTGCCCGTGCTGCTGTAACGCCGGTGCTGAGTGTCCGGACGGACGGTCTCTGGGTATGTCCCTTTTGTAAATAAAATCCTCTTCTTTTACCTATACCCTTTTTGTAAATAAAGTCCTCTTCTTTTACCTTGTTATTCTCGGCTTGGTGTTTTCTTCTCGCGAACCTGCCTCCAAATTATAAATCCGAGCTCGGTATCATTCCTGTTCTTAGTAACAGAACATGTGGTGGCACGCCTGTAGTCCCAGCTACTCGGGAGGCTGAGGCAAGAGAATCGCTTGCACTGGGAGGCGGAGATTGTAGTGAGCCAAGATGGTGCCACTGCCCTCCACCCTGGCGACAGAGCGGGACTCCATCTCAAAACAAAAACAAAAAACAAAACAAAAAAGAAAAACAGTGCTCTAAGCATTTTATTTGCCTCAGGGCCACTGCAAATGCTACAACGTCTGGAAAGTTTTTCTTGTATTCTCTTCACCTGGATAGATTTTTTTTCCAGCCCTTCAGAAAGTACACCTAGATAGGTCTTAATCATTTTTTCAGGTATGAAATCTAAGGATGCACCCCACTCTGGAGCTGCCTGCCTGTGTTTGAATCCTGAAGATCGTGAGGCATGAGTTAATTGGTGCAAAAAATCCAGAGCAGTGAGTGGCGAATCGTAAAACTGCTCCTTAAGTGCAAGTTAGAAATGATGACACAACTGTTTGTGTAATTATTAATATCTTCTAGTCTTCTCATACCTTCCACACTCTAAACAAGAAGCCACAGGCTTTGGCTAATTTCTGTTCATCTTTTTGTTTGTTTGGTTTTTGACAGGCTCTCTGTTTTGATTTCTTTGTTTTTGACAGGCTCTCACTGTGTCGCCCAGGCGATCGCCCAGTGGCGGATCTCTCCTCGCTGCAACCTCAGCAACCCAGCCTCAAAAGATCCTCCTGCCTCAGCCTCTCAAGTAGCTGAGATCACGGGTATGCACCACTATGCCTGGCTAACTTTTTTTTTTTTTGAGACAGAGTCTTGCTCTGTCACCCAAGCTGGAATGCAGTGGTGTGATCTCAGCTCACTGCAACCTCGCCTCCCGGGTTCAAGCAATTCTCCTGTCTCAGCCTCCCGAGTAGCAGGGATTACAGGAGCCCACCACCATGCCCCGCTAATCTTTTTTGTATTTTTAATAGAGACGGGGGGTTGCTCCATGTTAGCCAGGCTGGTCTCGAACTTCTGACCTCAGGTGATCTACCCGCCTTGGCCTCCCAAAGGGCTAGGATTACATGTTGTCCAGGCTGATTCTGTTCCTCTTTATATTCCAAGCGTCTTACTTGGCTGGGAATTTAAGAGGCGCTCGGAAATAAACGGAGAGAAACTGGGGGTGGAGCCAGCTTGGACGTCACTGCGGAGGGGCGAGCCTCGCCCATCCGGCTGGGCGTCGGTCACGTGGGGCCCAGATGGGCTGCCGCGAGGAATGCTGGGCCAAGATGGCAGCAATGATGAAGGCGTTTCCGCAGCGGCTGGTGGACTTGATGTTCCTCCGGGCTGTAAGTGTACCGGGCCGCTGAGGCGGCGGCCCTGCAGGCACTTTCACTATCAGAGTCGGAGGCTTGGCCCGTGGTGGCTGCTCTCTTAGAGGCGAGGCCGGACAGCTCTCAGGCCAGAGTCGGGAGAGCCTTGGAGTCTTGGACCCTCCCTGTTCCCCCCCAAATCCTTTGAAGGGGATGGGAAAACTGAGGCCCGGAGAGGTGGTGGATCATGGAGACCTGGGACGCCATCCTAGGCGTCCTGATTCCCCGCCCAGGGCTCTTTCTGGTGACCCTGGCCCCTTTCTCCCTCTAATTGTGCTTCAAACCTCTCCAACTCTTCATTAGTGAAAATCACAAACACCCTTCCATTTCCTTCGCCTGCATTTCCAACTCTTGTCGCATTTAGAGACGCTTGGGGAGCGATCACAGTGTATCCAGCGGGACTCGAGTTGAACGGAGCCAAGCTGTGATTCCCTTGGAATTCCACTTTGATCCTGTTCGATCCTGATGTTTTCCCCTCTCCTGTTTTCAACAGAGGAAAAGTGTAGGAGAGGTAGCTGTATAAAGGGTTGAATAGCCGGGCGCGGTGGTTCACAGCTGTAATCCCAGCACTTTGGGAGGCGAGGCGGGTGGATCACGAGGTTAGGAGATAAGAGGCCAGCCTGGCCAATATCGTGAAACCCCCGTCTCTCCTAAAAGTACAAAAATTAGTTGGACATGGTGGCGCATGTCTGTAATCCCAGCTACTCGGGAGGCTGAGGCAGAAGAATCGCTTGAACCCGGGAGGCGGAGGTTGCAGTGAGCCGGTATCGTGCCATCGCACTCCAGCCTGGGTAACAAGAGCGAAACTCCGTCTCAAAAAGAAAAAAAAAAAAGAGTTGAATAAATTGTGTTGGCTAAAGCCCAAGGCTGCTCTGGGCATACCGCCTATGGGTTGGGTAACCCTGCTCCGCAAGAAACAGTCAAAATAAAAGGTGAAGCTAGGATGTCCCAATAGTTTTGCCACTTTCTAGGCTTAATGACATAGTATTTACTTTCTCTAAACCTCAGTTTTTTCATCTGTAAAACGGACAACATTCCCTTGGGGTTGTTTTGGAGATTAGAGAAAATTTAAGTAATGCATTTGGCAGTATTCTGGCTCCCAATAAGTTATCAGTCCATGGTGTGATTTTTACCTTAGAGAGTTGAGAAGGAGTTATAGCTGTATAGAGGGAAAAATTATACACTCGTGGCACTGAGTCCGGCTGAGAAAGTCAGTTAATGTCTTTACTAGTCCATTCACCTGCTGCACCAGCAGCTCATGTGTAAAATGAAGATGGCAATTCCAATTTGGAAAGTTAAGAAAATTAAACAATAGTAGATATTAATATATTTTTAAGAAGCCGGGCGCGGTGGCTCAAGCCTGTAATCCCAGCACTTTGGGAGGCCGAGGCGGGTGGATCACGAGGTCAAGAGATCGAGACCATCCTGGTCAACATGGTGAAACCCCGTCTCTACTAAAAATACAAAAAATTAGCTGGGCATGGTGGTGCGTGCCTGTGATCCCAGCTACTCAGGAGGCTGAGGCAGGAGAATTGCCTGAACCCAGGAGGTGGAGGTTGCAGTGAGCCGAGATCGTGCCATTGCACTCCAGCCTGGGTAACAAGAGCAAAACTCTGTCTCAAAAATAAATAAAAATAAAACTACTTCTAATGTACATACAGCAGCATATAGAGTCCTATAAGCCATGGTGAATAGGTGAAAGGGATGAATCAAGTTCTGGCTTAAGCAATAGGATACGTGTGATGCCTTTTATGGAGATGGAAAGGATGGAGTCAGCCAGGCTTTAGGAGAAATTAGAGTTCTGTTTCGGGATGGCTACATTGGAGAGATGTAAATAGAGCTGTCAGGTAGGGAGTAGAAAATGAGTCTGAATTTCAGGGAGAACCTGTAATGGGAGCGTGAATCTCTTGCTTGTTCCTGTTACTAAGTGAAATATTCTTTTTGTTCTTAATTCTGAAACAGACCAAATGTGACTTAAATGGTGAGAAATATTTCTTCTTGTCTCATTATTAGTGAAGATAGATCCATTCTTTCATATTGGTCTTCCTGGGAATTATGGCAATCTCTTCCTCATACTTTTTGTTTCCTCTTTTAAACCAAAGGTCAGCACCTCATCTATGGGCACTTTACCAAAGCGGGTGAAAATTGTGGAAGTTGGTCCCCGAGATGGACTACAAAATGAAAAGGTAAAGATGGAAATGAGCCAAAAAAGGTTTTTCAAGCATTTGCTTTGAGTATTCCATGTAGTAGGTGCCATGGCAGTGGACAGAGCTATGCAAGACGTGATTCCTCTGCATGAGTTAGGGAAGAGAAGAGGAGACCAGACAGGGACACGCACCTGTGACAGTTAAATGATCTAAAATGGTGGGGCAAGCTGGGTTGGTGACTCATGCCTGTAATTCCTAATTACTTGGGAGGCTGAGGTGGGAGGATGGCTTGAGCCCAGGAGTTTGGGATGAGTCTGGGCAACACAGCAAGACTCCATTTTATTTAAAAACAGCCACCAAAAAAAAAACCCAAACATTAAATTGAATGGTGGTGCAACAGGTTTGGTGTTCCCAGGTCCACAGCCCAGTGGGGTGGGGTAGTAAGACCAAATGCAGAGATTTAACCTTGGGGGTGTTCCTTATGAACCTGCTGGTAAGAGCAGAACAGTTAGAAACAACCTAAATGTTTAGTATGAGGAAAATTGGGTTAGATACATTATGGACTTTTTATAAAATGAGATATATGAAGCCATCAATAATATAGGTGTATATTAAGTGGCTCAAGCAGGTTATAAAATAGTGTGTGTGGCCGGGTATGGTGGTGGCTCATGCTTGTAATCCCAGCACTTTAGGAGGCTGAGGCAGTGGATCACTTGAAGCTGGGAGTTTGAAACCAGCCTGGCCAATATGGTGAAACCCTGTCTCTACTGAAAAAGAAAAAAAAAAAATAGCTGGTCATGGTGGCACACACCTCAGCTACTGAGGCTGATGCACAAGAACCCAGGAGGGAGAGGTTACAGTGAGCCAAGATCATGCCACCGTACTGGTTTGTTTGGAAAGCACAATTCTGTCTCCAAACAAAAACATATACTGCATGCACGCATGTTTGTGTGTGTGTGTGTGTGTGTATATATATATATATTTTTTTTTTTTTTGAAACGGAGTCGCCCTCTGTCACCCAAGCTGGAGTGCAGTGGCGCAGTCTCAGCTCACTGCAGCCCCCACCTCCCAGGTTCAAGTGGTCCTTCTGCCTCAGCCTCCTGAGTAGCTGGGATTACAAGCACCCACTACCACGCCCAGCTAATGTTTGTATTTTTAGTAGAGACAGGGTTTCACCAGCTTGGCCAGGCTGGTCTCGAACTCCTGACCTCAGGTGATCCACCCGCCTTGGCCTCCCAAAGTGCTGGGATTACAGGCGTGAGCCGCTGTGCCTGGCCATGTAGCTTTTAATCTTAACACTTTTATGTAAGAAAAACGTTTACATACATATGGGAGCATTTATACAGACTAGGATCTAGACCAACACTTCCCATGGAACTTTCTGTGAAGATGGAAATATTCTAGACCTGAGCTTTTCCATGTGATGGCCACCAGACCCAAGTGGCCCTTGAGAACTTGACATGTGGCTAGTGTGACTGAGGAATTGAATTTTTATTTTTAAACATTTTAATTAAATTTAAATAACCACATGTGACCAGTGACATGTTGGACTGCACAGATCTAGAAAGTTACACACGAGGGTTTTAATAATGTTGTCACTGGAAGGTTCTAATGGTAGTTTTCTTTTGTTTTGGGCATGTTTTTCTGAAAGAATCATATACTGATTATTTTTTCAATAAGAAAAGCTTTTTCTTTTCTTTTTTTAAAGATGGGGTTTCACCATGATGGCCAGGCTGGTCTTGAACTCCTGACCTCAGGTGATCCACCCACCTCGGCCTCCCAAAGTGCTAGGATTACAGGCTTGAGCTACCGCGCCCGGTCCAGAAAACTTTTTCTTTTTCTTTCTTGTTTTTAGCATGTCCACCCTAGCTTTAATAGTGAGTGCTTGTTGGAAACAATAGTGTGTAAGTTTCAGGAGGGCAGAATCCCATCTGTTCTGCTTACCACTATATCCCCAGCACCTAGCACAATGGCTGGAACATGGAGGGTTTTCAAACATTATTTGTCAGACCAGGCGCAGTGGTTCAGGCCTGTAATCCTGGTGTTTTAGGAGGCTGAGGCAGGCAGATCGCCTGAGGTCAGGAGTTTGAGACCAGCCTGGCCAACATGGTGAAACTAAAATAAATGAGCTGGGTGTGGTGGCATTCGCATGTAGTCCCAGCTACTCTGGAAGCTGAGGCAGGAGAATCGCTTGAACCTGGGAGGCCAGAGGTTGCAGTGAGCTGAGATTGCACCACTGTACTCCAACCTGGACAACAAAGCAAGTCTCCATCTCAAAAAAAAAAAAAAAAAAAAAAAAAAAATTGTGCCATAGATTAAGTTAGAGTAGTAGGAGAGAAACTGAAGAAGGCAGGTGAGGGGAGGACCTAGCAAGAAGTACCTGGAGTTTTTTTATGTGTGTTCTTTTTGTTTGAGACAGGTTTCTTGCTCTGTGTCACCCAGTGCAGTGGCACAATCATGGCTTACTGCATCCTTGACGTCCTGGGCTCTAGCAATCCTCCCACCTCAGCCTCCTGAATAGCTGGATCACAGGCACATGCCACCATGCCTGGCTAATTTCTGTATTTTTTATAGAGACATAGTTTCGTCATGTTATCCAGGCTGGTCTTAAACTGCTAAACTTAAGTAATCTACCCACCTAAGCCTCCCAAAGTGCTGGGATTACAGGCGTGAGCCACTGTGTCTGGCTGGACTTGGAGTTCTTAGAATTTTTTGTCTAATCCTGTAAGTACTGGGGAGCTATAGAAAGCTTTTGATGCAAGAGAATGAAAGATTGGAGGCTGCGTTTTAGGAGGATTCTTGTGTAGGATGAGTTAGTGGCGTGATACCATGATACAGGATAATGATGGTAAATTTGGAAAGAGGAATTCATAGAATCTGGTGAGCGACTGGATATGGTGGGGAGGAAGAGAAAGAAGCTATATGCTGAACACATGAGGCTGAAGTCCTATGCCAGTTGGCAGACAGAAGAAAGAAGGGTGTGATACTTTGGGGGCCCCATCCCATACCCCCCAGAGGGTTAGTCATCTCTGCCCTTTTAGGCCATCACACATTGCTCTCAATTTGTTTATGAAGGGATTATAAATTAACACACATTTACTGAAGGCAAAGCCTACATGGCAGAAAAATGTTTCTATGTAAATAACTCCTTTTCTGGTGAGAAGCTGCATCCACTGCAAAAAATTATCTGTAGTTTTGAACTAACAAGCACTGCATTCTGAGGCTGTTTTACTACTAACTTTGCTGACCTGGTGATTCTTTCTCCACTATAGAATATCGTACCTACTCCAGTGAAAATCAAGCTGATAGACATGCTTTCTGAAACAGGACTCTCTGTTATAGAAGCCACCAGCTTTGTGTCTCCTAAGTGGGTTCCCCAGGTGAGCCCTAACCCTCAGTAAGAGGCCTTTCTCCAGGGATGAAAAGTTTTGCATTTGCCTTTGAAGCAAGTAGAAGTTGACAACATAGGTTTCCAAGCCCCTGGCTTTGAGAGGTCTCAGGTGATTCATAGCACTGTGTTGCAGCAAAAGAACATGACCTGGGGGATTCAGGCCCTTGGGTCCTGTCTTGGCTCTGCTCTGACTTTCTCAGTGACATTGCTAAGGCCTTTCCCTTCTTCATGTTAGAGATGAATTCTTCTAGCGCTAAAGTCTAAAACCTCTATGTAGTTTCTTTGTTTGTAAAAGAGGAGGACTGACAACTCCTGTTTCACAAAGATAGTTAAGTGGAGAAGAAACTTCCTGTTACAAAATGGGTGTTTAACACAGAGCTGAGCTCAGTGCCTGGCCCAGAGTACGTTCTCAATAAATGGCTGGTGGTAGTATTCCTGCTGTTTCTGCATAGGTAAAGCTGGAAGTATGGGCCATATGGAGAAATTGGGATCTCATCCAAACCAAGGGCCCTTCTGGCCCATCAGCAGTCAAACAGTAAAAGTATTGGGGAGACTTAGCTCTGCAGAAGGAATTATTATCTAAGATTTCTGGAGAACAGAGGTTTTGTGATGAAAAGGTTTTCTCTAACTGAACTCTGCCTGCTCTTGGTGATGACTTGGCAATGTCTCTTGGTTCCTAGATGGCTGACCACACTGAAGTCTTGAAGGGCATTCAGAAGTTTCCTGGCATCAACTACCCAGTCCTGGTCCCAAATTTGAAAGGCTTTGAGGCAGCGGTAAGAGGATAGCTTGTTGGTGGAGCTCCTGAAATGAGATTGATGGCATTGGTCCCTGCTTTGACTTGGGGCCTCAGTCCCCTGTCCTGGGATGTCCATCTGAACACTTGTGTGTCAGCCAGACCCTGGGGCAGACCTGGCCCTGCCACTCACTACTCTGTTGACAAGCCTATAAACTAGGGCTAATGATAGTACCTGAAATTGGGAGCATTTCAGAAGATAGGATGCATGTACATTGCTTAGCAAGAGCCTGATAAAAGGTAACTGCTTGATAAATGTTAGCTCTTTTGGTTAATCACTTCTTTAGAGAAAGGTAACCAAGTTCTCCACAAGGGTTTCAACATTAGTTGCTGGCATCTGCCAACTTCCTTATAATTTTAGACAAGAACATCTTTGGAGATGTTGCTTATGCATTTAGGCCAAAAGCTTTTTTTTGGCTGGGCACAGTGGCTCACATCTATACTCCTAACACTTTGGGAGGCTGAAGAAACAGATTAGCTTGAGGCCAGAAGCTTGAGACCCGCCTGAGCAACATAAGGAGACTTGTCTCTACCAAAAAAAAAAGAAAAAAATTGAGTTAGCTGACTGTGATGGCCTGCACCCATAGTCCTAGCTACTCAGGAGGCTTAGGCAAAGGATGGCTTGAGACCAGGAGTTTGAGGCTACGGTGAGCCATGATAGCACCACTGAACTCTGCCTGCTCTTGGTGATGACTGGGCAATGTCTCTTGGTTCCTAGATGGCTGACCACACTGAAATCTTGAAGGGCAGTCATCAAGCCTGGGTGACAGAACAAGAGGAAAAAAAAAGCTTTTTTCTCAAGAGTGACTTCCAGGGTGGTGATAGGGTGGTGGTGATTTCCTTGGGGAAAGTCAAAGTTGTTGTTTTTTTTAATTGAGAGAATTTTACTGTGTTTATTTCCTAGTGCTACTATAAGAAAGCACTACAAACTGGGTGGTTTAAAACAACAGGAATGTATTCTCTCACAGTTCGGGAGGCCAGAAGTCCCAAATCAAGGTGTCAGCAGCATTGGTTCCGTCTGAGGCCTCTGGGTGAACCTGTCCTGTGCCTCTCTGCTGGGGTCTGGTGGTGGCTGGCAGTCCTTGGCATTGCCTGGCTTGTAGATGCATCTCTCCAGTCTCTGCCCCCATCTTCCCAGGGCCATCTTCTCTGGGTCTCTGTGTCTTCACGTGGCCATCTTTTTTAAAGGTCACCAGTCCTATGAGAGTAGGAGCCCACCCTATTCCAGTACGGCTTCATCTTAACTCATTTTATCTGCAATGACTGTTTCCAAATAAGGTCACATTCTGAGTTGCTGAGTTTTAGTTCTTCATCATATCTTTTTAGGAGGGCACAATTCAACCCACAACATTCACATAACGTCACATTTACCTTAAGAAAAGTTTTTTGGCCGGGCGCAGTGGCTCACACCTATAATCCTAGCACTTTGGGAGGCTGAGGCAGGCAGATCAC